ATATGATATGTTATGTTGTATTATGATATATTATATTATTATTGTATTGTGTTATGATGTTTCTTTCATTCATATAAAACTTTTGTATTTTTATTGAATATTATTGAATTATATTTTATATTGTAATAAATTTATTTATATTGTATAAAAAATAAATATAAAAAATTTTAGATATGCATATAAAGAAAAGAGGACCGCTAAGAAGTGAAATTAGCGGGGGTGGTGGAGGGCCTCTACAAATTGATCAGTTTTTAAAAAACGCAAAAGAAATTATAGCATAGAAGTTTGCTATAACTAACAAAATTTGTTAGAATTATAGTAAATAATCAATATGACACATTTCCGATTTTGTGAGACAAGGACGGATAGAGATTGATCATCCCTCTTTATCTAATTGCTTCTGCATATAGCACGGAACAAAACCAAAAAATCGTGGACATAACACAAATAAGAACCACGCAATCGTGGACATTATCTACAGAAGGAGGAATTATATATTTACATAATATGTAACATGAATTCTCTAGTTATTGTATAAAAGTATTAAGGAACAATTATCAAATATGATTTATAATGTATCTGAACTATAAGACATTTTATATTTCCTTTTGGCATCTTCTGACATAGAATATAGAATATAAATTATTCATTCTTTAATAACTGCACCTTGATATTTCTATGTATAAAATAATAAGACAAATTAATTACTGTAGAAAAAGCAAGTAATTGTTTAAAAAAAAAGAATATATATTTGAAAATTCTGCTAATTGCATAATTTTTTTAAGCAGCTATGAATCTTTACACCAATAATGAGACCAGAATAATTAATTGTATATAATCAGATTAAAAATTAATTAGTTCCATTATTCTGATTTCATTATTTCTCTTACATTATTTCAATCATATCGATATACATATATACATATACATATACATACATACACATACATATACTCTATATATAATTCACTATCTTTTTAATCTAAGATATAATAATCTTTATAAACTTAATTAAAAGTAATACACAATACACGTATATATGTAAGCATGAAAAATCCAGAATATCATATTATATGATATTATAGATATACGAAATGTGCTATATCATGTATATATTTATATTAATCATGTATAAATCAAGATGTTACTAATATTTTGTAGTAATGTATTTATATATATATATATACACACACACACATATATATATATATATATATATGTATACATATATATAATATAAACCTTATATTATTATCTTATTTATTAACTTATTAGAAAGTATTCTATGACAATACATAAATTAGTTACATAAACTGTTAGTAAATTTAAGTGGTATAATACCAAAATAAATAGAAAATACGAAGGAGAAGTAAGAAAGAAAAGACGGAAGAAAGAAAGAATACGAGAAAGAAGAAAATAATAAAAGAGAGAAGAGAAGAAGAGAGATAGAAGGAGAGAGAGAGAGAGGAAGGAGGAAGAGAGAGAGAGAGAGAGAGAGGGAAGAGAACAAGAGAAAGAGAAATAAAGGCTAAAAATAAAATAATAATAATAATAATACTAAGATATTAATATCAATAATTATTGCAATAAATGTTAAATATCAATTAATAAAACATCCAGATAAAGTTATAAATAGAAACAAATATTTTAGAAACAAATATTGGTTGAAAATATTTATAATATAATTATATGCAAGTCTTGTAAAAGAAATTGTACTCGTCTTATTTTTTCAAATATTATTTCAATAATCTGTACTAAATTAAATTTGTAGAAAATAAGAACACTACTTAGATCTTAAGATCTTAATTTTGAAGTATAATATATTCAAATATAAAATGTACTTATCGAAAAGTATTTTTGTAATTTCTACACAAAAAATAATAAATATTATTTCTAATTTACTAGACATAATCTTAACTATATTTCATCAAATGATGAAATGACTTTAACATTGTTTTTTTGTGATTTAAAGGATTCAACACCATCTCTTGTTACAGAAGTGCCAGTGACATCCAAATATTCCAATCTTGATGCATTTAAAGCTAAGTGAACAAGACTTGAATTTGTCACACGTGGATAATTTCTGAAGGAAAAAAAAACATTTAAATTATTTTTATATTCTTTTATATTATTATATATTTTATATATTTGCTTTTATATATTTGCTTTTATATATTTGCTTTTATATATTCTTGCTAAGTTTTTAAATTTTTCATGTAAAATAATTCAAATAAACTTACCGAACAACTAATGTTTTAAGATTAGGATTGTTAGATGTGCGTCTATCTTCTCGTAATATTATCATTCCTTGTGGAGCAAGGAAACTATTTACCACTTCTTTATCGCAAATATCGCTTCCAAGTGCACAAATTGCTCTATCTGATATTAAACATCGTTGAAATCCATAATTTTCAAAAGAGTATGCATCATCGACTAAAAACTAAATTGATACAATTTATTTTTAATTGATACAATTTATGTTTTGATTTTTTACATTTTATATGTAAAACGAAAACATGCTATCTTTAGCATATGAAAAGAAAATCTTCAAATTAAACAATTTCCAATATAAACAGTTATAAGAAACTTTCTATTAACATAATTCTATTAACATAATTTTTGAATGATCAATTCTTTGAGTTACTATATATTTTCATATTATTAAAAAATTTTTATAATTTTTATATATTTTTATATATGCGCATATGGAGTGATATTGAAATAAGTGGTCCCACTTTAGTAGTATTCAACTCTTCGTGAGGATGCAAAAAGATTTTATAAATATAGATCTAAAAACTTTTTCTTTTTGAGATATAAACATTTTATTTATTGAATTTTTCATAAATAACTGTCACACGTAGAATTATGAACACGTACAACATTTTTACATGCTTCCCTGATTTAATTCCATTAGATATTTTATTTGTAGAAACATAAAAAGTTTAATTTATGATAATAATACTATTGATAGTCTGAAAATATTCAAAAACTTAATTATTACTACATGTGACAAAATTCGGAATATACTAGAAATTTTTGAACGTCTTTGACAATTTCTGAAACGTCGTTGTAAAGCATGTATTGTTGCAGAAGGAAATCATTTTCAGCAATTTCTAAGTAAGTTTTAAGAATTCCTAACATTATAACCAGGTGTTTATATTTCGAAAAGGAAGAATTTCTCGATTTTATGTTTATTCAAATAGTCGAATCTGTCGAAAGCAGATTATAATCATAATCCATAGTTCATTTTTACATTTAAATCTTAAATTTATATGGCTGCCTTATTGGTTGAAATATAATCTTAAAATGATCTAACATAAATATAAGAACTGACTATGAATACTGTTTTATGTATAATGAGAACATAACAAATATCAATTTTCTAGCAACTAGAGAGTAAATTTGCTGTCAATTTGCATATTGCACGTAGTTTGTTTACTGGGTTTATAATCTTTTATATTCTTAGGAAAAATATATCAAAGTGGAATCTATTTCATGTCACTGTGTGTCACTGTGTGATACATACTATCACTATATGCACACGTATAGATCTTATATACAAATTTCTTAAATAGCATTCATTAATTATATAGATATTTCTCATTAAAAATTGAGACAAAGTCCTGGATCATTTTTTGTATTATGTTGTATAATAAAGTAGTAATTATTGAGAAAAGTTAATCCAATCAGTCGTCCTTTAGACAAACGTATGTGAGTAAGCTGTACGCTTGATAACATGCGTGAACAGGTCAGCCACTTCGGCTCACTCACGCCTGTTTAAAGGATGATTGAATTAACTTTTCTCAATTACTATTTATTATTCGTTATAGCAAAAAATGATTCAGAACTTCGATTCCATTTTTAATGAGGAATACCGCTATTTAATTAGTAGGCGCTATTTAAGAAACACCCTGTATAATATATACTACGTTTTCTAATATTTATAAATTTGCTTTTTCCATACCTGTGCTAAATTACCGTCTTCAAATATAGGTAATCGTAAAGCCTGTCGTTGTCGTTGCTGTCGCTGTTGTATAACTTCTGGTAATTCTTCATTTCTCCATATTGAAGGACATTCAAGATATAGATGTGTTAAAGTTTTAGTACTACTAAAACAACCAACTTCACTATCTCCAAGTCCTGTATCTCGTAAATCTAAAATCTAATACAAACTGTAAAAACATCTTGGAATATTTTCCTAATAAAACTAAACATAACATAATAATGATTGACATATTTATATTATAAAGAAGATACAGATGTAAATAAAAGAAATATTATACCTCTAATGTCTTGAATCCAAATCTAGTTGCTAGACTAGCATACGCAACACATTCGCCCAGACGATGACATGAATTTAATCTGAGTTCCTTAAGTTTTGGTATTTTGCTAATAACTAATAAGGAATGTGGCGTAAACCATTCACAATTGCTTAAAATCAGACACTAAAAATAATATTAAATATTGAATACATAATAATAATGATATAGATTATATAGTGGAAAAAAATAATAAACAAATATAATAAAAATTTACGTGTATCTATTTATTATTTTATAAAATAGCTTTTCCTAAGCATTATATATATATATATATATACACATATATTTTTACAAATTAAATTAAAATTATAAATATCTATTTGTTAAGAAATAAATTGAATACCAAATATATATATATAATAAATTTATTTCATAGTATTAATTATATTGTGAACTATATAGTTTTATATAATTTACACAGGACAACTAATTCAAGAAAATTATGAAATCGCTAATACAAATATGTACATAACATACAATCAAAAGAAAATAGTAATATGCAACAATATGCTACATTGAAGAATCCATATTTATATTGAAATATTAACTTACTGTCAAATTAGGCATGTGATGATCCATTTTAAAAAAATATGACTTATTATGCTCTATATAATCCATTTTACAACCTTTTAATGAAAGTTTTTCAATGGTACATGGAAAATCTGTTATATGAATCTGTAAAAGTTCCATTATAAGATAAAATATATATTCTCATAATAAAACAAAAACACAAAAAAAATCTTCAGATTAAATAATTTTTAATATAAACATTTATTAATATTATAAGACATACCTTATCTCCATTAATATAATACTCTTCAATGATCAATTCTTTGAGTTGATCACATAATGTTTTTACATTATTAAAAAAACTTTGTGTAAGAGACGAATATTCGCGAGAAATTAGATTGCCACGTATTGCCAAACTCATTGTAATTGGTTGCAAAAATTTCATGTACTGATTCAAATCATCTAAAAGTATGGGCTTTGTCCGAAAATCTACTCTTCTCCACAGAGTTCTGTCCTGTGTTAATTGTGCAAATCTTTGGCAACATCTATGATTCAAAGAAATCAATTATAATAGAAACCAATATTTAAAATATAACAGATTATAAAAAGTATAATGTAGATACATATAACTTACAAACTGATTGCCATTAGATCTTGTGGATGTAAATATTTCAATATATTAAGTAAAACATCATCCGAAAATTCAAGGATGTTCAAGGATGATATTATTCCATTTAAATTTGTATTTTCTTCAAGTTTTATACGTTTCGTATCCTTACTACTAGATGGTTCAGGAGAAAGAGACTTGCTGCGCTTAATCTTCATTTTTTGCTTTCACCTATATAGCATAAAAAAGAAAAAAATTAATATCTCTAAAGAATCAATAATATGTTAAGCTGAATATATAAATAACTTCATGATTTTTCATAATTCTTATTGAGATCTTGTTGAGAATATATAATTTTTTTCATGTATGTATAGAGCATCATAAAAACATCATAAGAAATAATTTAGAAATTGTTATATATGCATATAAAGTACATTTTAACTATATATTGCTTCTATATATAATTATTATAGTTTAATTTTTTGGAAATGCATTATTTACATATGACAAATAATACTTGTCTAAAGTGTTATTATTATAGAAAATTATAAATTTTTCTATATACTTTAAAATATGACTTTACTACTTTACTTTAGACTAGAATTATACAAAATCAGTTATTTATATTAATAAAAAATATAAATTTAATTTATCAAATAATTTTATTTAAATTACTAAATAATTATTTTACTTTTTGAAAAATTTAAACAATGACAATTTTAATTAAAACGCGCGCGCACGTTGATTATCTATCTTGTTTTTATCAAACTTTACATTTATATCTATTTCATTTAAAGTGTGTTCACTAGTTCAGCTATAAAAAAATAGATACCAATAGTTACATTTTGTCCATAAAACTTTTTTTCAAAAGTACGGTTGTTACGTTTAAAACTTAAATAAATATGAATATATGAAAATAAGTATGAATTTTACTGAAAAAAATATTAAATGAATTCAAATTAACAATGCTACTATAGCTGTCCGCAATATTAACGAAAATTAAATTATATTTTAAAAAAATATTATTAATAAAAGAATACTAACATTAGTTTAAAAAATTCTATTCTAGAGATTTTTCTTTATAAAATAAGTTATAAATTAATAGATTCAAAGCTTCAGTTGATAACAATATTTTTAAAAGCTTAGTGAAAGAAGATTCTTAAACGACAAGAGAACTTGCTAAAAAAATGAATACTGATCATTCAACTGTGATATTGTTTCTATAATAAAATAAAAAAATGGATAAATGGATACTATATGAATCAATCCAAAATAAACCTCACGACCAAAATAAAAAAAAGATTAAATGTTCATCATTCATAATGAAATCTATTCATAATGAAATTTATTTTTCGAACGAATTATTATTTATAATAAAAGATGAATTTTATATAATGGTAAGCAATCTTCACAATGGCTTCTAATAAAAACTAGCTCTTCAATCCTACTCCAAAATCAACATCTCATCCATAAAAAAAAAATATAGTGGAATAATACATTATTTGTACCAGTTAAAGACACAATAGAAAATATTATCAACAAATCGAGGGAATGTGATGAAAAATTAAGAATATAACATATCCAGCATTGATTAATCATTATTGACCAATCCTTTTTCAGGATAGATTACATACAAGTCTAAGAACAATAATAAAACTAAATGCATTAAATTATAAAATCCACATCCTTTTTATTTACCACATTTCCAATTTAACATATTTTCAAAGATTTAGATTATTAAAAATAATCGTATATAATAGTAAAAAATAAATTTTTAAAAATGACAGATGTGAAAAAAGCTGTAAAATGATTCATTAATTTAAAAAATATAAATCTTTTTAGAAATGCCATTCATTTATTGCAAATCATTACGTAGTAATTTCTTTTAATATTCAATAAGATCCAATTCTAATAAGATCCAATTTAATAAAAAAAAATCTAGTAAAAAAAATTTTATATTCTCATAATATTGAAAAATAAATTTTTAACATTTTTAACATTTCTCTATTCTTATAATATTCATATAAAAGATATTTTAATCATATAATTTTTATTATACAGAAAAATGGCAATTTTTTAAAATTACCATTTAAAAGACAAATTAGGTCATAAGAATAAAAATTCTACTATTAAAATTCTACTACTTAATGAATAAATTTTTTGATAAAATTTATACTTTCACAGTACTAATACAAAAAACAAAAAGACATCTTTAAAAATTTAGTAATTTTCGTCTTTGTTTTTCTTCTCTCTCTCTCTCTCCCTCTCTTTTTTCTTTTTCTCCCTTTTCACTTATTTTCTTTCCTTTCTTCTTTTTTTTTTAAACATTCAAAAAGATGAAAAAAAAACAAGAAGAAGCATAATGTTAATATGGATGTAAAGTTCAGTATGTACAAATGAATCATTACATATGACGCACAAACTACTTTTTTTTTATATTTTTATCTGCTTATCCTCCACTGTTTAATAAAAATATGTAAATTTATGCTGAATATAATGATAATTTCAAAGCCCCAACTCTTACCTATATGACACAATAAATAAGGGAAAGCTGATAAAAGCTATACCAGAAACACTACACTGACATTTCGTGATCGACGAATGAATATTCCATTGTTGTGTTTCTTAAAGGTGATGGGTCAACTCTGTAGTGACATTAGAGACCTCGTGCGGTGAAAATGCGAAACGTCAGATTCAAAGGCCGGTATTCATAGCAGAGAGAAGCCTTAGCCTGGGTCCTCATGCAGACACCAGCGCTTTGACACCGAGCGCTGATTGGTGAAAAATGGATAACGGGGATAAATAGTAAAGATTCATTCGCCGTTTTATCTCCACTAGACATTTTTCACCAATCAGCATCTGTGTCGAAGCGTTGGTGTCTGCATGAGGATCCAAACTTATTCAAATATCACATTCGAAAGCAAAGCTCTCATTGGATATCATTCATCGCTCGTTGCGTTTAGTATACGAAAGCCATTAGGGTGTTGTTCTTCCATAGGAAAACGGAATCGGAACGGAAAGGTGAAATGGTGGGCAGAACCAATCAGCATCGTCCCAAAAATTTCAAATTTTCCGTTTCGATTTTAAGCATTCTGGTTCTCCCATAGAGCATATTTTCAGAAAATGGATCCATTCTAATCTTATATTTTTTTTCAAATTGATATTTTATTTTATTTAATATATTAATTGAATAAAATGATGAAAAATTATTAAACTTATTAAACTTATTAAACTAAAATTATTAAATACACAAATTTGTATATTGATTGTTAAATTGAATGATTGATAGATCATCAATAGCTTACATTAAAAACAAAATTATCAAAAAATTTTTTTTTCGGAGAGCGGCACAATAGAGAAATAAAATATCAAGAAATGATCTTAATTACGAAATTTCATGATATATTTCCTAAATGAAAAAATTCCCCGAAAATTTCAGTTTTCCAAGTTTTTTAGAAAACTTTAGATATCTTGCTAGTTCAAAGCTGTCAATTATCATGCGTGAATAGGAGAAATCAAAATAAAAATTTTTTTATCATTTTTATTTTTTTTTGTAAAGATCAATTTTATAAAAATATTCGTTTACATATGATATTCAATAAACTTTTACAGAATTTTTGCATTTTTATATGCAAACTTATCAATTAGAATATTTTCTATTTCCATCCATCCATTCATTCTTAAAAAGATTTAGAGTAAAAGATTTAATTGCTTTCCACAATGGCTGTTTTCATTTAATGACACAAGTCGATACAAGTATCGTTTTGTCCTTGTTACTCATTGAATGCCAAGATAGAACAACGCTTATGACGACTTGAGTCACTAAATGGAAAGCACCCATCTCATTGATGAGGTTTTTTTTTTGTTCATTTTGTCGTACAGGATAACAATTAAAGATCTTGCATTTCGATAGCTTGTGACTTTTTTTATATATGTACGTAACTGATCACGAATAAAAAGTTACAAGTTGTGCAAATATTTTATTCTATACTTTTTTCGAAACGACTAATTATATATTAAATATATACTTTATGTAATTTTCTTTATGTCACATAACAGCTGCTCATATGAAGTAAACATATACATGCACAGTTACGATACAAATTAATAGAATTCATTTGAACTTTATGTTTAATTGAAAAATATATAATGCCAGAAAATGAACAGCATGTGCATAGTGGGCATCTGTAGTCTGTTTAATAAAATCTAAAATGGAAACGTAATAAACAAAAATTAAAAAAAAAAAATAATATATATATATGTGTGTGTGTGTGTGTGTGTAAATCAAAAATATGTAATCACAAAAAGGAATACAAGCGATACTCGATAGGCAGGATTTTAAGCGTATAATAATCTCTTTATTTTTTTAATTTATTTTTTATATAAATTATCTTGTAAATGTCTTGAATTATTTGTTGGAATATTTGGAATATTTCAATTTCATTTGTTGGAATATTTTATAAAACTTTAAATTGTTAAAATTTTCATAGTTTATAAAATATAATTATGCTATGTCATATATCATTTTCAAGATAACATTTCAATTATATTGAAATACATTCCTGTAAGAAGATTATGAATATCTTGCTGTTATGTAACACAAATTATTTTTATTAATAATAATAAAAACCAACTGAACAAATTCAAAACGAGATAATGTTTAACATATCTTACATTACAAATTTTATTATAAATTTAGAACAATTTCTATAATAAATGTTAAGATACTAATTAATTTTTAATATTTACATTTATTAATTTGCAAGTATATTGTTTAAGGAAAAAATAATATTGATTTTAGATTGATCTGATATGCAATAAGAATATATTTTATGTATGTAATAATAATATAAATAAAAAATATATATGAAAAATATTCATATATCATATTTTATAGCATATAATGAAGTTATATAATGAAGTTCGATTAATTCAAAGAAATTTAAAATAAAGTAAAGGTCAAAGAATGAGTGAGAGATAACGATGGAATAAATTTATTTAGGACATGTGATCACAATAAAGATGAAATATGTTTTAATTTATACTTATTCTTTCTTAATCATAGTCACGAAGTAAAACGTGGACGAAATCAGAATAATAAATACGTAGTAATAATATGAGTATGTTAATTGAATTTTGAGTTGACAACAATACATAGATCAAAAGACTATATTCTAAGTCAGACACTTTTTTGTAAACAATAAACATTTCAAACAGACTAAAACAAACATAACGATATTAAAAATAACAGTAAAATGCATTCATCTGCGTCAGTCAATAGATTTAAGATATCTCAAGTTCATGATTAAGATTTTTGAAACTGTTCCTCGATTAAAAACGAAAATATATTGAGTTATAAAATAAAGTAAAAAAAAAGTTACAAAAAAATGTAGTCAAAATGTAACAAAGTCCGAAGTGAAAATATAATGAAAACAGATTTTATGGAAATTCCAACAAGACCTTGTTATAATGTGAGGCTTTCATATTAGTCAAATACTTTAATATACATTATTAATTTTAACAACTATATATTCTTATTTATATCAATTTCATTAAACAGATTCTGTCACATTTTAATAATGTCTATATGCTATGTATCTGTCTATATCTGTGTGTGCGCGTGTGCGTGCGTTTAATAATAACATTTTTCGACTTTACTTTGTGATTCAACATATTCTTGCTTCTGATCGAGGAATAATTTCGATCTTTAAGATCTTAATCATGAACACAGCAGTATTTTGGATCTTAATCGCAGATACAAAAAGCATTTTGGATTTTGACGAATTATGATTAGATGAACATTTTATCGTTATTTTTAATATCATCATACTCGTTTTATTTAATTTTATTATGTGTGTTTATTGTAAAAAGATATCTGAATATAATCTTGGAATATGGTCTTTTAATCTACATATTGTTATCAATTTATAATTCAATATGCGCATAATATTATATTTACTATTTTAAGTGATTTGTCTGCGTTTTATTCTATAATTATAATTAAAGACAACTAAATATAAATTGAAACATATTTCATTTTTATCATGATCTTGTGTTCTAAATAAATTATATTTATTCTATTTTTATCTTTTGCTCGTTTTTAGCCTTAATATTAAATTTTTTTAATGTAAAAAAATGATTCTTCAGAAAATAAAATAAAAGTTTTTCTATTTTCCTTTGTCTCAAATAATATTTTAATTTCAGTTTCAATTTTTCATTCTTATATAATTTTATGTAATTTATATGTATTACATCTTTGCAATATGTTTTGTTTAAATATGTTGAGCTAATGAGCATATACAGCAAATTTTTTCAGACAAAAATTATTTGGATTTATAAAGTCTATAATAATCTATACATATATGTATACACTTCAAATCATTTGATTCTTAGGATTATTTCAAAGTTAATAATTTATTAAATAAAATATTAATTTTTTTACTAGTATAAAGCATTTTTATGACACATTAGAAATGAGAAAATGTTTTACGATTTAAAATTTTTTACGATTTATGATATACCACTCTTTTTAAATAAAGTTATTAGTATATTAAATTATATATTTTAGAATAAATATGATTTTATCAGACATGTAAAAAAATCATATCTTATTATGTAAAGTATTTTTGAAAATATTTTACATATAAATTTAGATCTTCATAAAGTAAATGCAATTTTGTGCAAATAATTTTTCCAAATTCTACTAATTCAAAAGATATTTACATATTAAGGCTCTCTCGCTACAGCCATATCGAATTATGACGTCGGAGGCGAGAAATAACATGTAAAAAGTTTCTTGCGTTATAGATTTATTTTGTACTTTTCCGTTAAAAACATATTTTCGTATTCTTAACAATTTTAAAAAATATCAGAAAGTAAGATATCTGTCCAATAAATCATGTAAAAATGTAAAATAACTCTTAAAATAATGATACACTGTTTAACTATTAGAAACTATCAGATTATTAAATCTAGTTCCTGATAGCTGAGCAGTGATTATTATTTCAAGAATTATTTTATACTTTTACGTGATTTATTAGACAAATACATTACTTTCTAGTATTTTTTACAAGTTTTAAAAACATGAAAATATTATGTTTTTAAGGAAAAAGTAATTTCTCGCCTCTGACGTCACACAACCCATGCGCCGTGAGAGAATCGAGCCTTAACACTTATATTAAATATATTATAATTTTTTTCCCATGAAATATTAAAATTATTATAATCTTTGTTATTGAATTACCTGTCCTATCTTTTGTATTCAATTCCAATTTATGTTCAATTTCACATCTAAATGATTTCTTTTAAATATGTTACCATAAGATAAATCATTATTTTTCTTTGGATCTAAAGTTGAATCATTTACATGATATATTTATAAATAACTTTATTAAACATTGTTTTTATCAATAATGCATTTATCACAGTAATATGTTATTATAGTCTTTTAATTACCTTTCTATTTGAAAGAATTATTGTGCATATTTGTTAATATGACAAATAAATAAAATGGAGATGCAACAACTTTTATATGACTGAGATATACTTAAATAAATTAATTAACCAACCCAATTTAGTCATTCCATTCATCATCAGTGGTATCACTAGTGGATTCTTCACTTTCACTATGAATTGCACGAGATCGTTCAGCCAAAGCTCTAGATAAAGCATCGGCTAAGCCACCACGGAATACAGGTGCAGTATTCGGTTTTACTTCATTTCGAACAGGTTTCAATTCAATGCCCTCACGTATCTGTCGTAGCAACTCTCCCCTTGAATCTTCAACCAATGCTGGTTTCGTTTCTGTTTTATTAACTTTCTGTAAATTAAGACATCTAAATTATGCTGATATTTCAACATAGTTGGGATTAAACTTAAAATTAATTAATCTTTTTTTTTCAAGATATTCTTTATAAAAGAAGGTGTTAAAAAAGTATCAATTTTGGTCCCTAAATTACTCTTGAATAGATCTTGAAAAATCATTGTTTAGGTCCTTAAATGATAAGAAATAACAATCATTTGTCCGAGAAGTGATGGGAACATTACACGAATACATAAATATAAGAAAACTTAAATATAAAAAAAAATACGTTAGTTAAAAACCTGCCTGTACGATATTATATCTTTTCTGAAATATTATCTTCTAGCGCGAGTACGAGATATTATCACCAGAGGAACGTATGCTACTCTCTACTATTATGTAGACTCTCTACTATTATATACATATTTAATAAAGAATATATTTATATTTAATAAGAATAGATAAACTAATACTTATATCACATTTCATTCAAATAAATATAAATTAATTCTACTATGAAATATGGTGATAAAATATAAATAAAAAAACATAAAAAAGATAAAATTATCGGCTGTGATTATATAAATAAAAAAGACAAATAACAATATAATTATTCCGAGATAATTATATAACATTAATATACATAGTTATATTATACAATATATTGTATGTTATTAGCAGTTTTATGAAAATTAAACAATACAAAAATATGAAAAATTATTAAGATAATCTCTCTACACTATTTGGTTTATATAACTTAATATAAAAATAAAATAAAAAAAGATTAATGAATCTTTGGATATAGAACAAATTGATTTTCAGTCAGGAATGATAAATCACTTTTAATACATACCTTTAAAGTCGTCCCGCTTCTAATAGATTCCATAAGCATGGGTCTAAGATCAACTATCGATTCCTCATTATTATTATTAGTAACATTTGTATTCATTGTGCTGTTAGTACTACTTAAATCTGGTAAAGGTGGTGGAGGAGGTGGTGTAGGAATGTTCGTACTTTTTGGAGGAGTTGGTGGAGGCGGAGGTGGAGGAAGAGTTGGTGCTGATGTTATAGTTGGTGGAGGTGGTCTCGATGGTAATGTTTTATGCACTGGTGGAATATTAGACGCATTTAGAGGTGTGCTTGGAGATAAACTAGATGGCACACTTGGTAATGTCGAAGATGTACTAAAACGATTTGGAGGTAAAGGCGGAGCAGTGCGTGTTTGATACTGAAACACATAATATAATATTTATATGTGTGTATGTATGTGTATATATATATATATATATATATATGTATATAATTTATATATAAGATCAAATATGCATAGTATAATTAAGAAAATAATTAATGTAGCATAGAATAAATCAAAATTGAATAATTTTTTGGAGAAATAAGACTTCATTTTCAAGAGAAAAAATGCAAAATTTTTAAGAAAAAAAATATATAATAACATATTGCAATAATACAATTGTTTTTAAAATAATTATCTTGCTCATATCTATAATACTAAAAGATGTAAAGATTATTAACAATATCTACAATCTCTAAATATATGTACCAGTATTCCTCATCCCAACTTTATTGAAGTTTTTGTAGAAGAATATATATATATATAATTATTATATAATATATAAAATTATTGCAATTAATATTATTTATTATAATAAATTTATTATATTCAATAAATATTATATTATATTCAATATTATATTCAACTTCATTTTAATATTGTCATTGTGTAAAGAATGTTTAATTTTAACTTATTTAAACCTAACTTTAACTTTTTAAACTATTTAAGACGATGAATAAAAATATTGAAATGAAAAAATAGTTCTGACTAAAAACAGGATAAAACTTACAGGTATTGTTCGTGCTGGAACAGGTGGAGGATATTCTTGTCTTTGTGGCAGTGCAGGAGGTTGATTACTATTTTTTGCATTAGCCAATGGCCGAATATCTTCCTGCACTGCACTCATACCTCCATTCCTTTCAATGAAGTCATAAATAAATTTCCGAGTTCCTTTATCTTGGAGTTCATATTCCGAAACACCAGCATTATTAAAAAATTGTTGTAATTGTGAATCTACAGAATCTAACTCCAAACCTTTATTATTTACATCCCATCCTAAATGTGCCACATGTCTGCAAAAAAATGAAAACAATATTTATATATATTTATATATATTTAAATAATTAATAGATGTGTGTAGAATAAAATAAAATTTAAATCTATACCTAAAATTAGAAGGAAGGCCAATATCATCTTTAGTTAACTTGCGTTTGAGATCTTCTTTCCTTTTATACATTGTTTTATACATTGAATTGCTAGAAGCACTTCTATTAACACCAATTGTAGCAGGTGCACCATTTGATAAATTACCTGATGAACCTGATGTGACAGTAAAGGGTGATATGCTACTTTGATTTTTCCAAGGCAAAGTGCTACTAGATTGCATTTCTTTTACTCTCCTTTCTTGCTTTCTTTGACGTTTAGCATTTAATTTTTCAAGAAGTATGTTTCTATAAAAGATATAAAAAAGATCAAAAGAAATAAAAAAAATTAAAGTAATCTAGAAATAATTAATATAAAAATAATTTGATTTGAATGAAACTTTGTCATGTTTATTAACAAACCTTAATGTAATAGCTTCGGTTTCGCTTGCAAAGTTAAATGCAGCCATACAATCTTCTGCTTCAAATGTATGAAAATATGACATTGGTGCTTTATAATCCATTGAATTATAGATTTCATGTTCCCATAACATTATCTTTCTTTGCAAGCAATATAATCGTAAAAAAAAGCTGCGTCTTGGATTATCTCTTATCAAAGTGACAATGCCTGTATTCTTTTTAATCCAATCTTTATGTAAAGGAGCTTCAGTCAAATATAATTGAACAACACCAGCTGCTAAACACTAAAACAGTAACATAAATATACAATAAAAATCATATAAAAAAAATATATGTGATGTAATTGTAATTTAAATTCTAAAAACATAAATTTCTGATTAATTAAAATTATTATATACATATAGATATATCAAACAAAAAGAATAGAAGAAGCAGAATTATTAATATTTTTATAAAAGATTATGGAATAGGTAATAAAAGACATAACATGATATGAATATATGAATATATTAAGGCAGTTTGCTCAGATAACGATAACAGATTACTCCACCTATTCTTATACCTCACTCTCTAAAAATGATCACTTTCTCATACAGTACATACACATATACACATATACACACATACACACACACACACACACACACACACACACACACACACACACACATGTATATGTACACACATGTATATTTATTTAGCTGAGTCTATTATAAAATATAATAGATTTTGCCAAATGTCTATTACAAATTTTTGTCAGCAAAAGGACTATAAATTATACAAAATTTGCTATATTAGATGATAGATTGTCAATAGAATTAAACAGGATCTGTGCAACACAATTAATATCAAATTAACAGCAGAAATTAAAATTAATTAAACAGGATCTATATGACACAATTTGACAACAGATTGACAGCAGAAACTAAGCAAATTCTATACAATCACTAAATATAAACACATATAATTACAAGACTATTGCTAGGTTGCATCCATTTCTTGTGTTAAAAATTGTTAAAAATTTATCAGGTTCTCTATATAATCAATCACTATAATTAAAATTTAGATATGTCATAATTATTTATGCATCTCATATATATATATTTAGAAGATATAATCATAATTTTTGTAATAAGAAAATTCACAAGTATAGTATCTGGAAAATAATCACTAGTACATATAAAAAATAAAGGATCATGATATACATCTTCAAAAAGATTTTAATAGCTTACTTGTGTTATAAAGAATATATTAATTTTATTAATAAAATAATTAAAAATTATCTAAAAAAATAAAATATAAGATATTTTTTAAGATTAACGTTAATAATGTTAATATACTTTAACGCATAATTTAAATGGTTATGAAACAATCTGTTCAATTTCTGCTGCTAACAAGTCATGTCAAGACTTTGCTTAGTTTCTGCTATAGCATAGCATCTCAATAGACTCTGTCGACAGATCATAAACTTAATACAAATACAAATTACTATAATAGAAATCTGATTAAATCTTATTCTCATTCTATAAGCAAATTGCTATATTTTGCTATCTAGATATGTTTATATGTACATAAATATATATAATAAAGAAATAATAAATTTGATTATTTTTTCCATTTATATATTTCCATATTACAAATAATAAAACAATATGAATTGTTCGACATTATTAATTATATCCAAAAAAAATCTAAGTTCTTGATATATAATATATATATATATATATATTCTCTAATTTTATCTTTAATATACTAAACTTAAAAATACATAAAGGTATGAAAGTAGTGAAAAATAAATGGAATCTAAAGGAAAAGTTTAAAAACTATTTGTCAATTCAATTAATATTTAATTGATAGATCAAAATTAACACGTTCATAAATAATATTGATAATTTCAAAAAAGTTTTCACCTGGCAGCGATTTCCTATCAGTTGAAAGATTTGTTCATTTTCTTCCGGTTTTAGGAGTATTGTACCCCTGTTCTTATCCATATTACCAGACTTCATATTATCATCGAATAAGATTAGAATTGTTGCATAACCAAATATATACTCAGTCTAAGACCGCGCCTTTTTTCACGCCTAAAATATTTTCTTCATCATCGTTATATCAACATATTTTGATCTATCGACCATTCGCATAATCTCATACAGCTGACGATATCACTTTAGCAAAAGTGAAAAAAAGAAAACGAGAAATTCAAAAATGTATAAACCATTAATGAAACGACTTTAAATCCAAATTCTTCACGAAATTCTTCGATATTTCACGATGATAAATGTCTTCACACTGATATATCAAGTCCACGATAAAAACCTTCGACTCACGATAATGATGACATTTCCCTTCTATCCGGTTCAACGTTCCGCATTTCTGCGTTTCTTTACGTGACGCATTTTCACCATATGGAATTGAATGACATCAGTCTAGTTTTCATCGAAGTCTTCGGCGCGTTCAGAAAATACAAGTTTGTATTTATAGCGTGTATATATTTTTTCATTGGGCAGAACTGAACGCACTGGAACGATACACTAGAGGTACGGTCAAGAGCTTACTATAAATGCAATTGAAGCATTTTTTGATTAATAAAATTCTTTGTTTTTATTGGACAATCAAACTCTTCGAAGCATTTGTAATGTTTACATTGGCTACGGTCCATTTAGCGCTACAAAAGTTTCGAAGCGTTTGATTAATCAATCAAAACAAAAATTTTATGAATTGACCAATCAAAAAATGCTTCGAAGCATTTGTAGCATCAGGTGGACTGCACCACTTTTGTAGCGCTAAGTGGACCGTAGCCTTTATCTTTCTTCTTCCAGTGAAATTACTTTAATTTGCACTCCACCACCAGATGACGGTATCTCATCTTTCGTCCATCTTATATACAGAGCTTTCATTTCTCTTAGTATATGTTCTGTGGCCTTAACATTGTACGATTCCCGCCGATTCTTGCACCGCATGCGTGTGACACTTTTGCCATCTGCTTCCGCTCCGCCGCTTGGCGCGTCTGCCGCCAGGCGCCACCGTCTATCGAGGAAGCAGACGCTTATACCAGTATGGTAACTTCCGCCTTGCATGCAATAAATTTTACTGTGTCATTTCTCGTCTATGACGAGAGAATTAGAAATCCAATTGGCTGATTACGCAGGAGGTTTAACGATTCTGACATACATTTTCAGAGATTTAGAAAATAAATATAAGTCGCGTTAAATAGATTCCAAATGTTTTATACTAACAGATACACCTTGCAACTGCAACTTTTCTTCTGCTTCATTCTACCTACGATAATACCTATATATTTTTGGGACGAAACTTGGAGCTATAATAGCGCAAATATTTATGCGATAGATTACTTTGAACTCTATATGGACAATCAATAGCATTGTATATACACACACACACACACACACACACACACGTGAATATATATAGCACACATTCTTACCATGATCGATGAAAAAAGTGAAAAAAATGTTAGAATCGAAATAATACATTAAAATTTAAATAAAGTATATATGTGTACATATATATATATCTTCTTGGGAATACCGTTTGTATCATCGATCAAGAAAGATCATTACGTGTACATAAAAAATGTAAACAAAAAAGATCATAAATAAATTATTCATGAATGATTATGGATACTAGTCTGAGTCCATCGAATATATTGTCACTTTTAGCTGCATCAATTTCGCCAGACATAATTATGAACAAAAAGCAATGCTTTTTTTAAAACTTGTGAACTTAATTGTGCAGAAGATGGATAAATAATTATACTGTAAATGATAATAAAATACCAAAAGAATAAAATCTTTTATATATTATAGTTTTAGACATTATAGTTTTTATTACATATTGGGATTATAGTTTTAGACATTACAAATGAATCTCGATATTCCATCAGATTTTTATAACCACCGAATTGCGCAACATGATTAAGAACAAATTACATCGTTCTGATGAACATTCATTAATGATGGAAAACATTAATGATGAGAAACCAGTCTTTCCGGCTAATCAAAATGGCATTAACTAGCGGATAGTTTTATTAAATGCTAAGGTAACGTAACAGACTTTACATAATTATTTTTAACAATGATTCATCATATTTATGCCTTCAGAGATTTTAATTTTTTTATAGCATTGATCGATCAGATAATTTAAGATCCATTAAAAATGTCATTTGATTATAATTAGAAATAAAAATAGAATTCATCAAGAGCTTTAAAAATAATTATGATTAAACATAATTGCTAATTTTTTTAACAAATAATGAAATATTTGATGTATTATTATATTGTAATTATTATAAATAAGATGCAGATAAAGATTAAATTTTTTTTACTATTAAAAGTAAATAACTAGAAAATTAATTATTTTAATTTGTACGTAAATTATTCTGAGACGTCTTCTAAATTTGGAAATACGAAAATAAATGATCATTTAGAAGTATTTTATCATTTGGACATCATCGCAATAATGACTCTTAATGCAGCATAATGTTTTTCTGATTGGCACTAGGAAATATCAATGAGATACGTAGGAATATAATTTGGAATATAATCATGGATTTATTTTAGGTGTCACATCATTCTTATCATTTATTTGACGATTAAGAAATAAATCATAAATTGTTTTATAATTGTTTGAATTGTTTTTAATTGTTTTAGATTTATATGAAAACAGAATTATAATCACAGCTACATTCTTATCAAGAGAATCTCTAGCGAAGTAACAAACAATTTCGAAAATCAAGATGAAAATTAAATACAGTTTATGCCGGAATTTTACCGGCTTTCACGGAGTAAGTACCTTTTCCAGTACTGTCTATGTTCGCCGAGCTGCTGCTGTAAACTCCTTTGGCACCATCGACTGTACCACTTGTACCTTCATCGCTTTCACCGATACGGGAGAATATACTACAAACAAAAATAAGTAATTATCAATAAGTTATTATTTGTTATCAATACAAGATTAATTTTAAAAATTCTTGAGAAATCTTTGTAACAAATATTTTTTAATTTATTTATAGACATGTTTCTTTTTTTAATGCTCATTACTCAGTCTATTAATCACAATAATATTACAATTACAAAACTAAACAGTCCTTTTTTTTTAAATTATTCAAGTAATCTTTCTAAAATTGAAAACTTTATCCAGAACATATAAAATGTTGAAAAGCTGTAATTAGCGTTTATTATTTAGGTTTTTTTTGTCGACTTATGTCTCATCAAGGTATATTTGTTCATTATATTACCATGTTTCGCTAATTTCCATAATCAGCCATAGTTTGCGTATTATCGATTGTATGACGAACGGGAATTACGGAAACATTCAGAACTTGTTCACCTTGAAATCTACTCTGTTAGAAAAACTTCACGGATTGATTCACCGCAAAAATCTGATGTATTACTCGATTGCTGAATCATACTTTTTTCTTTCTTGATATTTTAAATCCAAGTTAATAATTTCAACAATAGAGTATTAAATTTGAAATTAATTTTCTTCTTTTTTTCAAATAATATAGAGAGAATAATATAGAGAAAATATAGAGACAATATAAATCGTCTTACACAGACGATTAAGATTAAATTATTAAAGTACTTTTTAACTTTTGAACATACAAATATATTTAATAGTACATACTCTACTGGGCCGTGACTTCCAAGACCTGCATGACCTCCATATCCTCCAGTACCAGCATTTGCACTTGCACTAGCTTGGGCATTTGCATTTGCGCTAGCACCACCACATCCTCCAGTAGCACATCCACCTGTCATGAGATAAAATAGAGATATATTTAAATCTATCTTTATTAATTAATATTGTCTGAATCTCTTTTAAAAAAAAATTTTATTTAAAGTACCTCCTAGACCTCCTCCACTATGTCCGCCACCTAAGCCACCTCCATGTCCACCACCACTTAATCCTCCTGCTCCACCATATCCACCACCACTTAATCCTCCTGCTCCACCATATCCACCACTTAAACCGCTATGTCCACCGCCTAGGCCTCCTCCATG